GAAGTTGAAAGAGGTGTTCATCTTATACAGAGACATGTCAGCATACCCTGAGGACAGGAGCCTGTGCAGAGCTGGGCCTCACAGGGGACTGGACTAGAAGGAGGAGAGCGTGGAGGAGGCTTCTTTTGTGGCCTCTCAGGGGTGCTGCTTCTGCCCCCAGGGCTCTCTCGCCCCTGGCTTTCCCGGTGACTACATCTGTGTAATTGTCCAACTTCAGTGTCCTTTCATGTCTCTTAGATTTTTGAAGTAGAGGCCAATTGGCCTGGCTTCTCCTCTAGGCAACCCCACATTTCAGGGGTCCTAGCAGATGTGCTTGAGCCAGCCCTGGCCAGGAGGCCACCCTGTGCAGCCCCTGGGCCCAGAGCCATGGAGAGGCAGTCCTTAGCCCAGAGGGAGGCGGACATGGACAGTGCGCTGTGAAGGTTGCCTTTCCACCCTCCGAAGGTGACTGCATCTTGGTTTCTCTTTCCCCGAGCCTGCCTCCGAACTTCCCAGACTTTAAGTTGAAGCCCTCTCCTATTTCACTGAAAAAAACAGAAGCCTCTAGTCCCCCAACCCACACAGTACAGAGCCACCTTGCTGCTCCAGTGCTATCTTCCTGCCTCCTCCTGTTGAGTTTGAAGGGTACTTTGCCTCTGAAAGGCAGGTCTGTCCCCTGGGCTTCTTGTCTTGCTCCTACAGAGGCCTCTTCTTTTTTCAGCGTCAGGGTTTTCTCCCATTCTCTTAGCCCCCTCAAATATTCTGTAGTTTCTCTTTATTATTTAAAGAAAAAGAAAGAAAAACCCTTTTGGCCACACACACACTTTCCACAGAACTTCAAAGCAGTTGTCTGCCCTGGTGATGTTTGGCACGTTGGCATGCAGAGAGACCCGTCATCACAAGCTACCGGAAGATGGAGGGGCTTACAGCAGAGTGTCGGCCAGCTCTGCACTGAGCACCTGCCACGGATGGGTTTTCCCTGGCCAAATGTTCTCGAGGAAGGAAGCAGTGTGTTTGCTTATGTTCTGGCACGAGTGCCTCTCTCTTCTGACAGTTGACCTTCTTCACTGTCTTGGTCCCCACGACGGCACATTCTCTTTTTCCTCACTCCTCTGAGTACCCCCTGCTTGCTCTTCCCCTTCCTGCCCTGTAGCTGTCAGAGGGCCTCGGGGCTCAGTCCAGGACCCTTTCTCTGCCTGCCTTGGCCGTGATCTCTCTTAATCCAATAGTTGGTGACTTCTAAATATAGACCTTCAGCCCAGACCCAGCTCCTGATTCATTTATCCAATCACCTTCTTGGTATTATTTCCGTGACATCATCTAAGGCATCCTCACATGCAGAGAGGTACACACAGAGCACTCAGTGCACTTCTTCATTCCGCCCTTCCCCAGTGCCCACTCCTCTCCATGCCCCTTCTTGCTCCTTAGGAGATGGAATCACCACCCACGTGGTGGCGCAAGTTCCAGACCTTGGATTCGTTCTTGCGTCCCCCTTTCCCTCACTTGCCATGTCCAGTCAGTCACTGGGGCCTGTCCCTTATACCTTCAGAGCATTACTCCATCCTCCTCTTCATCACCACTGACCCTCCCCGTGTCCAAGCCACCACCAGCACCCCTGCTCCCAGACTGCTCCAGAGCTTCCCTTTGCATTCCCTCTCCATCCACTCCCCACTGACCAGCCAGAGGGAGTTTTCAGCATCTCCCTTCAGAAAGCCCTTCAGCACCTACTACTGTTGTTGAAATAATCCTGCCATGGCTTGCAGTGCCTCTGCTCCTCCCTCTCCTCCCTTCCCCAGAATCTGCCTCCTTCCTCTCACCTCTCCGTAAGCCTTGCCCTGACTGGTTCAGGCCACTCTGCCTGGCTCAGGCCACTGTGCCCTCTGCCTGGTGCTCTTCCCAGCTTTTTTCCTGGCTTTTCCCTTTTCACCATAGGGTCCCCTCCCCAGTTGTTATATCGGAGATGCTTTCCCTTGCTGCCCCAGGTCACAGGTGAGTGAGAGCAGAGGGCTGCCTCCTGAAGCCTCATGAAGCACCCAGGATTCACATGGGCATGTTTGCCCTTTAAATCCTGACCAGACTGCCCCAGCTCCAGCAGCTCGAGGCTTTTTTCCATGTCTCCAGGAACTTCTGAATGCATCTTACAAATGTTGAGAACTGGTCATCACGGAGGCTGGTGCCTTTGAATGTCAACTGCACATATGTGGGTGGATGCAGACAGCAGCTTGAAGTGCAGGAGGGAAGTCAGGCCCAGCACTGCTAGCCAGACAGCCAGGGCATGGCTAGCCCCAGCCCCGGGATATCACCTGCCAGTCCTGTGAGGGATTTGGGAGAGACAGCAGTGGGCTCCGACAGGCCATTAGCTCCACAAGGAAATGGCCATGAATCAGAGTGCTGCTAAGGGCTTCTTTTTTTTTTTCCCCATTTATTTATTTTATTGCATTTTAGGTTTTGGGGTACATGTGAAGAACATGCAAGATTGTTGCATAGGTACACACATGGCAGTGTGATTTGCTGCCTTCTTCCCCATCACCTACCTCTGGCATCTCTCCCCTTGCTGTCTCTCCCCAGCTCCCCACCCCCCACCGTCCCTCCCCTGTTTCCTCCCAACTGACCCCAGTGTGTAGTGCTCTCCTCCCTGTGTCCGATTTTTTGTGTCTGTGTCAGAGAGAATGTGCTGCTGTTTGCAGCCTTGAACAGGAATGCTCTCCATTGCTCTGTTAGAAGCCATGGAGTGTTTACAAACTGGGTGACTGTTGGCAAGACATTTTTCCTCTTTGCGCCTTGGTTTCCTCCCTTCTATGATGGAGATAATAAATCCTGTCTGTTCAACTCACAGGGCCGTTGGGGTGCGTTCCAGGTGTTGGGATGTCAGCTAGCATGAATTCAGCATCCGCTCTGTGCCCAGCCTTGAGTTATACAGCTTCCTGTTCCATCCTCACCATGGTCCCGTGAAGGTGGGCAGTCAGGCTTAGAGGAGCTCAGTCCTCCCGTCCCCGGCTGCCCGGGTACCAGGTGGAGATGTCTCAGCCTGTCGGTACCACATCCCTACAGGCGAGCAGAGCTCTGCGTACAGATGCATTTGCTTTCCAGATTCTGCAGTCATCCTTTAAGACAAGCTGTTCTCCTTGTTCAGATGATGGCGTGGTGGAGTTAAGTGACTTGCCCAAAGCCATTTAGCTTGTAAGTGATGTCCTGAATTTGAAGGCAAGTGTGTTTGGAAGTCCTTTGGAAGACTTGAAAAGGAGAATTGGTAGAGCCTGGGGTTCTTAAACCTTTCAGGCCTTAAGAAAGTAATAGTAGGTTTTTTTTTTTTTTTTTCTCTTTGTTCCTGATTCATGAAGGAAATTATACTTTTGCCAAGCGGTGCTTCCCTTAATATTTGCTCTTGATTGGCGTTAATGCCATCCTGGCACTATAATATTTGTCGTCTCATACCTTGGCAAACTCTGCCTGATTGTGAATGATCCAAAAAAGGTTTTGGGGTCAAAATGGAATGAGAGGAATGGTAAAAGAGTAAGGATCCCTCATAAAAAACAGGATGGTATCAATAAGACCTTTCCCAACTCAGAATCCACATTCTGCCACCTGCCACGGTCACTTAGGTGTAAATGTCACCTTCTTCCTCAAGAAGATGACAGGCCACCCGCTACCCTGGGAAAAAACAGGGCAGACAGTATACAACATTGGTATACAGTGCTCTTCTGCTTCCAAGAACTGCTAACTCTGTGCTGGTCTCCCAGGATATTACAGTGGACATCTGCCCCACTCCTTCACTGTATTTAGAAAGTACTCTTCCCGATGTCCAAATTGGAAGGGTAGGCTGTGGGCATATGGGCCTGGGCTTGGCCAGTTGCACATGCATGGGAGCCGGTAATGCAGAAAGCCGGGTGGCGGTGAGTTCATGTGGAGAGTATGCCAGCAGCTACATCTAGTTTTTAGGGGCGGTCATGGTGGCTCGGCACGTCCCGCTCCAGTGCTGATGGGTGGTGACACAGGCTCTGGCATCCTCACACTGGGAGTGTGAGAGCTGGGCTCCAGTTACGGCAGCACAGCATAGTGTCCTGTCCATTTTCTGGGCTTCCTTCTTTGGCTTTTCTGGCAATCAGTGAGATGCCAAAGGCCTTTAAGTAAACTCAATTTAAATCAGCTGAAGTCTGTTTCATTTGCTTAAAGATAAGAAGCCAACTTTATTTAATAGAGATGTTTCTCTGTAGTTTTCCAAAGGTTTTTATGCATTCCTGAGGCCCCTGAAAGTTGTAATTCACCTCTTAGGCACCTCGGCAAGCCACAGAATTCACACGAGAATCCCAGGTTGAGCAGGTAGCAGGACTGTGGGCTCAGCCGTCTCCCTTCAGTGTTATCGTGACTGAGGTCTCCATCATTCCCCCTAGACTGTGACTTCTGTGGGGACACAACTGAGTCCTTCGTCTCTATCCTCAGCTCCTTGAGCAATGCCTGGCACATGGTGGGTGCTTGGGAAGGTTTGGATGAATGGGCCAAGGAGAACCAACAAAGAGATGAGAGAGGTTGATGCCCTGGGCTCTCTGCAGCCTTAATGAGGCTGGCCTGGCTTGGGCAGGAGGGGCGCTGTGTGCCTGGAGACTGCAGGCTGCCTGCAGTTCCATGCTGGAGATTGGCTGGGGAGATCATGGAACTTAGAGCAGGAAAGCAAGTGGCTTGAGCCATGAAAGGGAGGGCCACTTCTCTGAGTGGAGGCGGCGTCGTTGGTGCTTCCCAATCCTTTCGCCTCGTGGCATGCACAGAACACAGTATTATTTGTCTGGTATCCAGGACCTTGTCCAGCTGCCCCTGGAGCAGAGGCCCCTCTCACAGCATACCGGCGACCCAGTGCCCACTACTTAGGGGGCTAATCCCAAGGGAACTTAGAGCCTGGTGTGGCCTCTGTTAGCCCCTTGTCATGTAAGTTGCAGATATTTTTCCTAGTTTTTGCCTTTAACTTTATGATTTCTTTTTTCTTCCACTTGGTTTATTCTTGACCATCATGGTTCTTCCCCCTACAGGAGGTTCCAGCCTTGACAAGTGTGGCCCTTCCTGGAATCCCTCTGGACACACCCTTCTAGCATCCTCTAGGAAAGATGCGGCAGCTCAAAGGGAAGCCCAAGAAGGAGACCTCCAAGGACAAGAAAGAGCGGAAGCAAGCCATGCAGGAGGCCCGGCAGCAGATCACCACGGTGGTGCTGCCCACGCTGGCTGTGGTCGTGCTCTTGATCGTGGTGTTTGTGTACGTGGCCACACGCCCCACCATCACGGAGTGAGCCCTGCAGCTGGCCCGCAGACCCCATCGGCAGGGAGAGGAGGTGCGGGAGGGGGGACGCAAACAAAAATGGCTTTCATATTCAGAGATGTTCATGCTGCTGAGCTATAAGCAGGAGCACCCTGTCTTTTCTGATCTTTGACTTGATTAAAGTATCTCTGCTTTTCTTGGGAGGGAATAGGGGATGTTTTATCAGTGAATGTGCCATACACCTTATGGTCCACTTCATGTGCCTTTCAGACTTCAAAGCGTGTGTGTGTGTGTGTGTGTGTGTGTGTTTGTGTGTGTTTCTAAGTAGCTCCACCTGAAGAGAGGGGCGGAACCTCTGGGTCAGGAAGCAGCTGGAATCCGCACTCACCTCATTCCCATTGTTTGGATCATGCCTCTTTCCAGCACGTGTTCACAATCTCCAAAGGGACTGTATTTCTTCTCTGTGCTTAATGTGATTTGAAATATGTTGAATCAAAGTGAAATATTTATTTTTTGAATAAAGGAGATAATAGCCTTAAACTGGATGCTTATCATGTTTTGCAGGAGGTGCTGTCTGTGGGACTCCCCCTGCCCCCGGGTCTGTGCCTCTTCCCTCTCCCCTCCCCTTCCCTTTCTCCTGTGGCTCTCTCCACCTTCCCCAGCACTCCCTCTGCTCATCATTTGCGAGTAAAATTATGCTTTTTGATGATGATTTTAAGATGGAGAGGGACAGAAAGGATGGATTAATTGGCCTGCTTTATGAAGTGAGAGTTCTAATTGGAATATGACCACAGGTGATTTTTACCCCAGTTAGTTTTTCCTACTTTAATTCCATATGTTTGTGCAAACAGCAATACAGAGTGATCCTGGAAGTAAAGGTCAGGCTTGATTTTGTTCTTAACTGAAAGGATGCAAATTGTTGGCATTCCAGCTGAGTTTTCAATGCAAATTGGCTGGAATGGTTGCCTGATTTTATTCTAACAGCACTGCTTATGCGGTCCTGCTTCCTGATGGAGCAGCCCCTTTTTGGAAGTCAGATTCATGGTTACTGTTCTGAGGGTGTCTGTTCTCCTGTCGTTGCTGATTATGGAGATTTGTGGGGAGAGAAGTGCTCTGCTAATCCTGGTGGCTGCGCAACTCGCTCACTGATGGCAGAGGCTGTTAGTGGAGATTTGGGGCTTCTTGGAGTGAGTCTCTCAGAAAGGACAAAGCAGCTATTGAAAGGAAAGACTTCTCTGGCTGATGCCTGGAGAGCCTGGACTCAGCAGGCTGACAGAGCTCTGCAGCCCGCTCCTTGAGCTGGTCTCAGAGAGACCTGGTACCTCCTCATGCTCGCTCAAGGGCCCATGGCCCTGGAAAGAGATTCGCTAAAATACTTACCAAATTCAGAGGCTGCTAGCATCAAGTCCTTCTAAGGTTTCTGTTTTCCTTTTATTTGGTTCTGTTATGAGCGTCAGTGCTTGCTGGTCTGAGAAAGACGGCAGGCCACTACCCCAAGGACTTGCTTATTCAGGGGCCGGAGGGAGGAGGAAGGTATCTGCGGCCATCCCTGTTTCTTGCAGCGGCCGCTGGGCGGCTGGCGAGTCCCCTTCCCAGGGCAGATGCTGTGAGAATGGATCAAGGACACTCCGCCCGTGCCAGCAGAAAGAGCCCAGTCTGCGTGTCTTGGAATTAGCTGATCTGCATTTAGTTCCCAGGCTATCACTCAGCATTGTGAATTACTTAACCCCACTGAATCTGTTTCCCTGTCTGTAAAGAACTGGTAAAGACACTTTTAGGAAGGTGAGCCCTCTAGTAGACAATAAGGCTTTTAGAACAAACGTGGGTTTTGATGCAGATTTTGCTGCTGGAACCCCTTTGAGTCCACTTAGAGATTATCTTGCCTCATAGGATTGTAGGAAGGGCTAAGTTGAAATAGTGTATTTGTAAAGCCAAATCAAGTTACTCATAGTTACTATATAAACAAAAGTAGCTTGATATTTCACATGTGTTTATGTCTCACACAGCCTCATGAGATATGTACGATTAGCACTCAGTCTTAAAAATGAGGAAGCTGAGGCAGACCAGGAAACCTGTCCACGTCACATAACTAGTGAGTGGAGGAGCCTGGTTTGTTTATTCTTAAGCTTTTGTTATGACATGTTTTAAACATACACAAAAATATACGCAGCATGCCTCAGCAAACCCCACTACCCGGCCACCCCTGCCCGTCCATCTGCACTGCCCTCACATCCAGACACCTTCATGTGCACACATGCATTGGACTATTTGGAGCAAAACAGGAGATGGGATTTTAAGCCCAGGCAGCCTGGCTCGAGTCCATGCTCTTCTTCATCATTAAAATCTTGTTGACTTTCAGTAAGTAATTTTCTGTACTCTCTGGTCTAAGGAAGCCTTGCCTGCCCAGGGTATTTGAACAGTCCTCACCTGGTCATGGTGAACAGCCTTTGATGCCGTCTTTAAACAAATGGGCTGAGAGTTTGGCCTGCCCTGTGGGCACTAACTCCACTCAGCCTCTGGTCTGTTGCTTAGTTAAAGAGGAGCCTCACCCGGTAGTCATAAGAGAAATACCTTTTCCATTGGCTCCTTACTTAAAACATGTCAGTAGTGTTCTTGCTTAGGAGATTTGGCGTATGATGTGAAAAGAATATGATCTTTGGGAAACCGATATATTTGAATTCTACTTCAGATGCTTTCTAGCTGAATGACCTTACTCAGGCCCTATGACTGAAGCTTCACTTGCCTCACATCTGTGAAGTAGGGTTTATTATCTAGGGGATGTTGGGAGGATATATTGAAATATGAAAACGGCATACATTGTGCCTAGTACGTTATGGAGGCCCCATAAATGACCATTCCCTTTTCGTCAGTGTGTTCAAAAACTCAGAATATAAATGAAGGCCTGTTCCCCAATGCTTTACTGGCCAAACGGCTACGCCATACCCTGTAAAAGATCCTTTATGTGCTTGTGACTCTATTTTCACCACTGTTTTCCTCTTTGTTGTCCATCAGGGGGCCTACTGGGTTTGAACTGGACCTTCAGAAGGCAACTACTAGACGGGCTTGGAGAAGGCAGGCTGAAAACGGACTTTTAAAAGATAACAATTTTGATGTGAGTTACCTGGCAGGGACCAGATGCCAATTTACTGTGGACTTGCTGGGTGGAACTTTTAACAATTCTCGTGGGAAATAGTACTCTCGTGTGGGCGTACTTAGTAATGATTTGAGACACCAGCTTCTAAATTATTTCCAGTTACTCAGTGGCTTCAAGGCAATACTGAATTATTTATTATGAGTTTCACAGAAAGTCATGCTGGTGTTTCTGCAGTAGAATCTGGGACTCTTGGCTTTCAGAGTCCTCATTACCAAGCCTAAAGAGGAATTGAGTTGGAAACAAGAATAGAAACCATTGTTACTGCTTTAAAGGGTGACATTTGATGTATTTTTTTTTTGAGTCCTGATACCAAGACTCAAATGTTTGTGTATTCATTTTCTGACCAATGAAAATCTTGGTGATGATCATGGTCATTGCGGAGGGTATAAGACTGAGAGAAGAAGGGTCCAGACACAGTCTGCCACTCAAGAGTGTGACACTGGCCAGGCGCCTCATATAGTTATGTTGGACCATAGAATCTCCTGAGAGCTCTTGTATCCCAGAGATTCTGTGAACGTTGAGTTAACAAAATAACTATGTGAATGAATAGATTTACTTGGAGCTCAGAGAACAAGTAAATCTATTCATTCACATAGGTATTTTGAAACAATAGATTTACTTGGAGCACCAGCGGCACCTGGTATAAGAGGTCTGAGGATAGAAGCTACAAGGGAGCCTGTGTCTCTCCTTGCGATGTTCCCAGTGCTCTATAAATGCAGCGGTTGCTACTAACTGGTCATGAGTCTAAACCTGTAAAGATTAAATTCAGTTTGATTGGTTCTGAGGCTGCCAGCTGTAATTTTTCCTGGTCAGTTCAAAGACGTAGCCAGTATGCACCCTTTTGTCCTTCATGTGTCCTTTATGACATAAGATGGGGAAACCTGCAGCTAGGTCATCTGTGAACTGGAGATGGTTAAGATATTGCCATAGGTTGCTAGGAAAATTCGAGAGATGATTGTTCTTCCCACTTCCCCAAAAGGGTCTCACACCATTATTTACTTGTCAGAGGTAGAAAAATCAGGAAATCTTTTGAAATGATGGCTCCTACATTTTTCTGGAAGTCCACCATCACATTCCCTACAGCTCTGCCTTGAAAATATCCCATATAAGATGTTTTTAGAAGATGTCTGCTTTATTTTGAATGTATTTGAAACTGCCTAATTCTTTGTTCTGCAGCATATTTGCGACAGACTTTTGCCTAAACATTAGAAATGAGATACAAAATGTTGGGATAAATAAAATACATGAATAGCTTCATCCAAATCTGTTGAGAGCATCTGTACTGGAATTGTGAAGGGTTTGTACATCCTCTGGACCTGTGTTCCCCTCTCTCCATGCTCCAAATATCAGGCGGGGCAACTGTGCACGTATGATTTGCCTCTACCTGGCAAACCTCTAAGTCTTTCAGGCCTAATTTTTTCTTATGAATCTTAATGTACTTCAGCAGGCAGTCCTCTTCTGAGTATTTTCTCATTACAAGGCAAATGTCCCTGACTTCAGTGTATTTCAGTCAGGTCATGTGTATTATCTCCCTGCCTGCCAGTTCTTTGGAAAGGAGCCAGTGTTTTCAGAAAGCTGTTAGTCCCTTGAACTGTTGAGCAGTAACATAAGGAACGCAGAGCTGAGAGAGCATTTGGATGCTCAGTGATGTCATGGGTAAGGGTCTCTCTTTCCTTCCCTTGTTGTTTACTTCCCCATTGTTTCACAAAGGTTGTCTCTTTCGAACTTTCTCACAAGGAAACGTTCATCCAACCTTTGAATATTCCCTTTCCAATGGAAACAGGCACACCTGGACACAAGTGGATCACCCCAGCTTTTTCAGGAAGCATATTAAGCCATTTGTGATCCGACTTAACTTCAAAGGCACCAGCAAGTTTGGGTTGGAATAAATTAAAGCCCATTATGACTCCTCCACCTTGAAATTCCTCTGTCTCCACCTGGTTCTGTCGAAGGTCTGCCCATCTATTTCATCCACCCCATTTCTCCAGAGACATTGAAATTGCCTTGTCTCACACAGCCCTCCCAGATTGAATTTTAAAAGCTGTAACAATATCCACAAAGACATATTTAAAGCTAAAGTGCCAAAAACGTTGGAAAAAAGGAAAAAATATAAGGAAGACAAATATGCACAAAAGTTATGGCAGCAGTTTTCACATCAGCAAAAGAAATATAAAGTGGACATGCCATGAGGGGCAAAGGATGACACATACTAGTACTCTAATAAAAAAGATACTATGATCATGAATGTATATGTTAATATAGGTTCAAAATATATAAAGCAAGTGACTTGACAGGACCATGAGGAAAAATACATCACAATTTTAGTTGTTTTTAAGGAAGCATTTTTAGAAGTTCATAGATCAAGCAGCTGAAAGGAGCAAAAATA